CGCAAGGTGGAAATGAGGTGAGACAGAACTATGGTCAAACAATAAGATTAACAGCTCATGTAAAATTAATGAAATTGGGGACATATGGGGAAGTGAGTCACATAGCAAGTGAGTATGCTTAAAAAGCAGTGGGAGCTTTAGCTCAGCAATCCAGAACCTGCCTGGTAAGTGTGAGGTCATGAGTTTGATACCTGGTACCAAAAAAAGAAAACAAAACAAAAGTAGTGACTCTTCTTGTAGGGTGTTAGAATGGTGACTCCTGGCGGCTTCCTTGGGGTGACAGAGACCTATTTAGGACCAAATGTCTTGTGACCTTGCAGGAGACAGGCAGCTCCTGCTGTGGGCCAGATTTAAAGACAAAAGATCAAGCAAATGCACCCACATCCTAAAGATTGATAGTCTAAATAGTTCTTTATCATCTGGAGGAAGCCAGGAGCCACTATCCCAACCCTGTAGAGGAATAGTCACTGTTCTTTAAGCATGCCCGCTTGATATGTGATTCACTTTGTCATTTGTCCCTGATTTGGTCAATTTTACCTGAACAATTATTCTTATTGGTTGACCACAGTTATGTCCCACCTCATGCCCACCTGCCTTGCCAGTTCCCACGTGTTCCCCACCTTAGACCCATCTCACTTCATGGTTTTGGTCAATAAAAGTCCCTAGAAAAGACAGTCTTTGGCAACCCCCTTAGGACTCCCTCTGTCTCTCAGACAGAATTTTTCTTTCTCTCAATAAATATATTCTGCTCTTAACTTCCATTGTTCCTAAAATTCATTCGATTTTAGAGAACACAAACTCGTACTCAGACATCTAGTAGGTAGAGAGTTTCAGTCCCATATAACAACTGGGTAACATTTTAGAAACTAACTTTGGACTTGGATTTCTGAGAATAAAAGACCAAAGAAAAGTCTAGTTTAGAATAGCAGCAATTGTAACCATTAGTGAAATAATAAAAATGATAAGTAAATGTCCCTTATACTATTTTCTCATGAAAAAGATTAAGTTCATATAGCTGGTTAATAGACATCAGGGTCTTTAAATTAACCCCCCACACAATCTAAATACTAAAGATATTTAAAACAAGGAAGACCCTGGGAATGCCGGGTGACATGCTGATGAGTGTCTGATAGAGTCCAGAGAGGCACTATCAGTTCATATGAACCCACTCTCCATTTGAGAGAAACATAGGTTTCATTTTACATAGGTCACAGTGCACACATCAGCAGGTAACAAACAGTTCCAAAAGGACGTCAGTATGTCACACATGCCACAGCAGTCCAGTGTTTCTCCAACCCATTCCCTCAAAAGCCTATTTAAAAATTCTACTAAAAAAAAAAAAATTGGCCTAAAGAGACCTCTATTCTGCTTGCACAGGGATGTCCCTCTTAGGTTGAGCAATAAACTCCGCTTAGACTGTTCAATTCATGTTCCTTTCTTTCTTTCCTAGCTACAGATCACCAGTCCTAGCTACAAATCATCTACAACCCAGACTGATACTTTCTTTACATATCAGAACATTGCCCCAAAATATGACATCCCAAAGGCCTAATGAGCTACAATGGGTGAAATATTATTCAGTTATAAAAAATGATGTTGGGCTTTTATAGATAAATGGAGGCAACTTAAGACTATAACCATAAGTGAAATAAATCAGACTGACATTTGCAATTATCATATAGTCTCTCTAGTGTAAATAATAATAATAATAATAAATTGAAAGTGATGAGATTCAAAATGTACAACAGATATTATAATAATGAAAGAGAAAAAAGTACCCCCAAAAAAGAACAACTTGTAGGCATACACATACAACTGTATGCATGTTTAAGCATACAAGATACATAGCCAAACTGCTAATTCTCCTAGTTCATCAAAAAGAATAGCTTGTGCTGTCATTCCTGATTGTTCATTTTTTATGCTTTGATTTTATAACTTGAGCAACTAGTTCTAGGACAACAATGAGTAATATATTAACTAGTATTAATTTCTTTCAGTTTTTTTTTTTTAATTGTATATTCTACTATTTTTCTTTCCTTGCTTTTTTTTTTTTTTTGTAAAGAGCTGGGGCTGGGGATTTAACTCAGCGGCATAAGTGCCTGCCTTGCAAGCAGGCAGTCATGAGTTTGATCCTTGGTACTGGAAAAAAAAAAAAAGAGCTACAGTAAGTAATCTGTGTTGGTCCTTCACGTTTGGATCTTATACTTCTCGGAACTTTGAGTTTAGGTCAGTTTCCCCAAATTGCCACGAGAGCAATGCAAAGATTTCATTTTGTTTGCCTAAATAAATTTCTTGATGGCATTTTTTTTCCCTCTAGTGTCTTTTGTAAGGTCCTGGTTTTTTGGTAATGAAGGAAGACTTCCTAAACTTCTGTGATTCCTTATCACTACAGCACCCACACCGAACTATTTTACAAAGGATAACTGAGACACAACAATCCTGATGGGTTAATCGCACCACTGTAACAAACCACAGTCTTTTCCTCTTGTTAGGGTCCACTGTTTTCTCACCATGGTTATCTAATAATTTTTTAAAATTTCATACAAAAAGTAGCTTGAGAATTACTTTTTCTTAACATTCTATTTCCATTTTTGTGCACCCTTCCGAAAACGAAAACAAGTTTTTCTCTTGAAAAGATAAAATCAATACCAATTTCAAATGCCCATTAACAAACCTTACCTCCCCTAGCTCTGCTAGGCTAATGAAAGATAATTGCTGTCACCTGCAGACCAGTGATTTTAGAACCTAGGAGCCATCAAGCTGATGCTTCCCCAGCAAGACAACTTCCCTCTCTCAAGGACTTCCCTGGGGACTGTACTTGTGGCACTTGAAAAGCAAATAATTAAGAGCAATAAATAGCAAGATCCTCTAGAGAAGTATAAATTTTGCATAACAATAACTCTGTAGGCTAGCTGGTGGAAGGATTATTTTATTACATTGTAGATTTCTTTTTGAATCTGTTGAAATATATTTTAAAATCTTTGATTTAAAAGACATTTATTCCTCCAAACCAGTGAAGTTTCAAGAATATTTTTAAAAAACCAAAGTTTCACATTAGACATTGACTTGATTATTCATTCTTTCTTATATTCTCAAAATATTTTTATCTTACTACAATATTCAGATTCTACATCAACATTTGTCATTCTTCAGACTTGGTAGTGCATTTTAGGTCTGGGAAGAAGAGTGTGTTTTGGAGTAATGAAGTAAATAGTGTAGCTGATTGATCTGGCATATAACTCAATTTCTATCTGAATGCCTGTTCGCAAGGAACAGCCTGCTGAACTTCCATTGTATCATGTACAACTCTGGCAATAATTCACTATTACAAGACATTTTGAGACTTGAAGGAGACAATGTGTATAAAAGTATATTTAAACCACAATATTGAATGACTAGCTAAATAATGTATATCTCCTGCCTCTACCACCTGCATTCTATAGGTGCCACAAGATCACCTTTGTCACTTAATTTTTCTCATCTTTAAGATTCTCTGGTAGTCTCCTCAGAGACTCTTAATGGTTTAAAAGAATCTGTTAATAAAGAATTTTATATACAAATATCCTATTGATGAGATGGTAGCTTGTTTGGGGATGATAGAACTGTGGGGGATGGAGGCGTGGCTGAAAAGATAAGAAATATGAAATATAAATGACGCTTATTTTGAGAATGTGGGGAGAGACCCCCCAACACCCTGGGTTGCCGCATCTCCCCCCAACCCCTTTGGCAATCTCTCTGTGGAACACGTGGAGTGGGGGTATACATGTAGCTTAGGTTAGGAGTGGTGCCTGAGGGGCATTAGGAATGCACAGGTAGCCCACTGTTATTCTTTTGGCACCACAGGTAAATTCCTAGGGGTGGGGAAGATGGAGCTCCTTGGTTCCTCCTGAGGCTTTACCAGCTACAGAGTCCTGTCTGGGCCAAAACTCTTTCAGGGGATACAGAGACTAGAGAGAACAATCAGCCAAAAAGATAAAGATTTTTCGTTGTAATAGACTTTAAAACTGAAACACTAAAAGACCTTTCTCAATAGTGTCCTAGAGACACACTCTCTCATACAATGGTGCTATTCTGTGCACTGACATATTTCTCTGCAAAAGTCTATCCTGTCCCTGAAATTTTTACTGCTCAGAGGAGTAAGGCAGAATGTGTGTTCTTTGCAGTTGGGCACCCTGCAACAACAAAGGAGTGAAGGAAATACAGAGGCACACTCAGATTCTTTCTTCATGCTTTCTAATCAAAGAATGAAATCCCCTTACCCTAGGGAGAGCAGAATAAGTAAAGAATACTAGGAAAAATAATCTCTTTCAAAGAAATTGGAAGTGGATAATAAACATCCCTCCTTAAACCTGACCATAAATTGATAATGTACTACTCAGTGGGTTGTCTCTAGGCACAGAGAAAGCAGGGTTTCCATTTCATATAAGCTTTTATTTTTGCCAGGCACTATGGCTCACACCTGTATCTCAGCTCTTGCGAGACTGAGGTACACTCTGAGAAACTATTTTGATTACTTTCTCATTGCTGACACAGAATACTCAACACTCACAACTTAAAAAGGAAAGATTTGTTTGGGAGCATATTTTCAGTCCACATTGGCCAGCTTTGATGCAGAAAGGCTAGGGTAGAAAGATCTGGTAGAGGGGAGCTGTGCATGTTATTGTGTCAGAAAGCTAAGACAGAAGAAAAGAGCTGGCCAAGAGGAAATATAACCTTCCAATTACGCCATAGTGACCAACCTCCAACCAGTCTCTACCTTCTAACAGTACATTTATCTCTGTACTCATCCATAGATTAACCCACTGGAAGACAGTGCACCCAGAATCCAATCACCTTCCCCAAAGCCCATCTTTGAAGATACAAAGTCTCGGAGGAACAATCCAGGTTTAAAGTATAATAGCAACTCAGGGAGGCCCTGTCTCACAAACATTTTTTAAACTGCTCAGTGATAGAACACTTGCCCCATATGAGCAAGGCCTTTGGGTTCAACATCTGCTACCAAAAAGATGAAAAGAAAAGAATTTGTGTGTCACCCTTGCACGGGAGCCATGTAATCTTCTCTGTATCATTCTAATTTTAGTATACGTGCTCCCAAAGCAAGCACAGAAAATAAGAAAAGAAAAGGGTAATTTTTGGTTTCACCAAACAAAGTGACAGAAAGGTGGGCATAGGAGTTTATATTATTGGTAATGAATGGCAATAAACTCTGGGTTGTGTAAGAATGGAAGTTAAATGCAAGAAGGAAAAGGAAAATTGTCTGAAGGTCCTGGTGAGGTTGGAGAAAATTATTGGGTACAGTTCAACAAACAACCTAAAAGGAAAGAAGGTTTTATTCAGGATGTTGAATTAGTGATTATGAGGGGAGACGCAATGTCCTGATAGTGACAAGAAGAATTGGAAGCAATAATGAGTACTTTAGCAGGTTATAAGTGAGGAAGGAGGTGGTCTAATATTTAATGACATTATTCTGTCTATATGTGTTTATCACTTTTAATTTCATGTGAGTAAAACAAACTCTTATAGGGACTATGCAGCCAAGTAGAAGTTGGGTATAGCTACCATATTTTTGTTGGGTTCTGTATAATACAAAATTATATATAGATTGACTACATTAATATAAAAAACAGTCCTTCATGGGTGACTTAATAATAACAAGCCCATTTGAAATTTGGAGTGCTATGATATAAGCAACAGTTAATGTTATGAAATACTTATATTATTTGAAATAATACTGGTCCAATGATTGTAATGATGTGATATAGCACAATAATTAAAAGATCATAGTACTGACATTTTATTAAGTGAATGACATTCAGATTAAAATAGGTGGAGATATGCATTTATTAGAGAGTATATTATGAAAATCAGCTCCAGGTACTTTTAATAGAATTACAATTCCAAAAATGTTCTTTCACAGAAAGGCTTTCTCAGGTTGCAAAAACTTCCCGAGAACTATGAAGCATTGCTTGATGTAGACCCCTGTCAAAAAGAATGCCAATTTAAAATCTCAAGAGATTCTAGCAAAGCCAAAATAAGAAAACATTACCTGAAACACAGATTTTCAAAAATGTCCCTCTTCAGTTCTGCTTAAACTCTATCACACCACAAGGGCATTATGTCAAAATCCCAGTATTGATATAATAAAGGTGCAAACCATAAAAAGCAAAATTTGAGCTTCATTAAAATTAAATGTTCTACTTAGGAAAAGATGCTGTCACATGAATAAAAAGACATGCCACAGGATGGCAGAAAATATTTGCAAAAGATATATATGATATATATATTTTCTAAAATATGCAAAGAACATTTAAAGCTTAACCATAGGAAACAGCCAATTAAAACTGCATCTGAGACCTTCATAAATAGCTCAGCAAAGAAGATATAACAGATGACAAATAAATACATGTAAAGATGCTCCACATCCTATGACACCAAAGAAGAGAAAATTAAAACAATGAGATATCACTGCACATCTATAAGAAAGGCCCAAATCCAGACAACTGACAACATGTGATCTCACGTGAATGTTTAATAGGAGCTCCCATTCATCACAATGGGGTTACAAAATACTGTAGCCAATTTGCAAGACAGTTTTGTGGTTTCTTGTAAGACTAAACATAGTCTTACCATAAAATCCAGAAAATTCTCTCCTTGGTATATTCTCAAAGAAGTTAAATATTTATAGCATCTTGATTCATTATTGTCAAATTTGAAAATTAATTTAGATATCCTTCAACAAATGAATATTGTTCTTTCTTTTTTTTTTTTTTTTGGTCTTTTTTTCCTTTTTATTGGTACCAGGGATCGAACTCATAACTGCCTGCTTGCAAGGAACAAATGAATATTTTAAAAAATTGTGCTGTATATAAAAATGTAAAATTATTCAGAGCAAACAAGAAACATGTAACTGTGAAAACACATGGAGGAACTTAAATGTGTATCATATTGTGGAAGAAAAGGCACAGTGTTTGATCTCAGCCATGTAACATCCTGGAGAAGGCAAAATAATGAAGACAGTGAAAAGGCCAGTGGTTTTTGGAGACTATGGAGTAGGGAAGGACAAATATGCTAAATATAGAAGATATTTGGGGCAGCGGAATTACTTTGTATAATACTATATTGTGAATACATGCTGCTACACAACTGTTCAAGCCAATGAAGTGTAACACCAGCGGTGAACATAATGTAAACTGCAGACTTTGGAAATAATAGTAGGTCAATGAAAATTCATTAGCTATAACAAGTGTACCTCTTTGTGCATACATGTTGGGATGATAGGAATAATTATAAAATAAACATTTGAAAAGGAAGCAAGCAGCCACTTAATTTCTTTCTTATTCTACAATTTCTACTCATCTACCTTTCTAATTCTGAGCAAATCAAGTATTTGTTTTATTGTGTTTTCACCAGCAGGGAATGAGGTGACAACTGAAGATCTTACTTGTTCCTCTGCTTGGGCAGCGTTCTCCATGGAGTAACAGGTGATAGCCTCTCTCTCTTCTACCAGCAGGCGGGAAGTTGTCCTCTCTAGCATTTTCCACTCCCAGTGCCTCCAGCTCTTGCTCAGATCTTAGCATGATGCATGCTCCATGGTCTCCTGAGGGAACCTTTGACTCAAAAGCCAGGGGATTTCAAAACCACGTTTTTCAGAAATGGATTAAATAGGATTTTTGACCTTATTGATGAGGCTATTAAGAATTATTCACATGCATGTATTTTATATCTGCTACTACTGACCACCACACCTTGTTCTTAAATTCATTCTTCTCTGAACTTCCAAGCTTCAGCTTCTGAAGTGGTCAGACCACTTTTGCATTTTCAGTTCCCCACATTATAAGTGGCAGAGATACTAAGTAACACAGAACAACTCCAGGTACTCTGCAGTCTCTTTCTGCAAGGGGAATGTTGGATTCTCATTCCTAGATTCACTCTCTTAGCTGAATGCTATTTCACGCTGGTGAAAAGGTAAAATTTTATATTGTTTTAACCTAGAGTACTAAGGAGTGGTATAGGTGGATCTAGTGGTAGTTTTATTTTTAATTTTTGTGAAAAATTTCCTTATTAATTTCCAAGAGGTTGGACTAACTTATATTCTCCAAGCCACATTTTATTGAGTCTATAATTCTATAGCAGTCCAATTTTAAGTCGTACCACTATATATACAAAGCTATGTAAGTAAAAATTTTCCTTTGTAGTAATAAAGTAACTTTAGAGCATTTCCCACATAGCAAGATGAATGAACAAAGGAAGAGTTGGTCATGTATTAGGATGAGGCACAATAAAACAATGAAGAAAACTTTATAATGTAAGGGCACAATTACATAACAGCAAACTTATAGACATTTTATAGCAAAAGTTAAAAATCAATTAGTAGCCTGTTACTATGCTCATACTACCTGTCACAAAACTAGCCTACTAAATGCAGTTACCCTTGACTGTCTGTATTTAGCTGCTTTTCCCAGATAACATACTACGTCAGTTTGACTGCTTGCAAGTCTTGTGATTTCCTCTACTTAGAAAAATATATATTGTTTCAAATGCGCTTCAAGGACTTCATGTTTGAGACAAACTGGCCAGTTAAGGACACATTTAACTCTACTTACTCCACTAAAACTCCCTCCCTTCTTTCCTGGAATCTACTTAGAACTAGCTTGTTAACAACATATGACTTAATTCATGTAATCAATCATATAATAACCTGCCATCAGCCTACTACTTCCTGCTTGAAAACTATATTTAAACTGAACTCTAAACTAAGTGATAATTGGTGATATGAAACTGATCTTAACAAACCTGCTAGCATAATAAAGGTTGCCTTTTAACTTCTTGGTGCAAAGAGTCTTCCATTCAGTTTGCATATGTGTTGGTAAGAAATTAGCTATTCTTAGAAAGATTACTCATAGCCTATAAAGAAAAACACAAGTTACTGTTAGTGATTTTCTGCAACAGTAACATTTGTGACTCTAAGACCTCTCCAACTTTGATGGTGTTTATATCACTTCCATTTTCTAATGAAATGTTGCCAGGTATGTTCAAATTAATTGTGAATACTATATAAAATTTACTGCTGATGGGATACAACACAAATGATAACTAGCTATTTCACCACCACCTCTTCTATATCAAAGTTTAGTAACAAACCAAGAAGATAGTCTCTGAGGAAGGCATGACAACTCTAAAACTCTCAAAGCTTGTGCTATGATTCTCTCAGGACTTGCAGTAAGATTCAGATTGCTTATTAAAGTATCCTAAACATTTTAAGCAACATTGACTCTACTGACTCCTAAGTGAAGACTTATTTTATTGCAACCTGGAATAGCTGAAAAACTTTCTCACACTTTGGATAAACACTTAAACCTAGTATCCTATTGATTCCACTGAGAAAGTGAATCAAACACATTGCAGAAAATGGAATATATTGCCTTTCACAGAGAATATTTTTCAAAATAGTGCACCTACTTCTTACTTTAAAAAGCAAAAGATGCAACAACTTATATTTAGTGGTGATATTCTAATATCATGAGAGAGGATATTCTAATATGTTCCAATCCCTTTATACCCAGAAACTCTCTTGAAGTTATATGCCCTTGAATTCTAGCAGAAGCACTGGTTATTCTTGTCACTGTTGTTGTTGCTGTCGTTTCCCCATATTCTGGATGTATTTTTCTTTAGAAGATATAGAGAAATCTTTCTAAGACCAGCTAATTTTTTGCCAACACATATTAGCAACATGATTGCATTGCAATTATTGGAAAACATTACGTTCTGTGGTATTACAGAATGCTCACAATTCCTGTGGACTATTATAGCAATAGCCAATGTAGCAGTAAAGCAATGTTGCATTATTCAACCTACAAGGTAAGTGCAATTTTTATCTGATATTCTCTAACTTGGGTTAGGAGAAAATTTTCCAGATGTATCATTTTCCAGATGTATCAGCAAGTGGCTAAGGACTTATTCATTGGGCATAGAAAGGCACTGCATCTCGACTTGGACTTGTTCACTGTTAATCTTTTATTTTTTTAGTGTTAATTTTTTTTGCACAAGTCAAATGAGTAAAATGAGAATCTAATGACAATCACCATTTTCACTGCTATGTCCCCA